AATGTTCGGATAGGAGTGTTGTTTACGGCTTGCAGAGTGAGGCCTGCGCGGGGGTGCTTACGTTCCTGTGGTGTTGGAGGGAGGACACTCACTTGAGCACCGGTATCGATGAGGAAACGTAGGCCTGTGTCTCGGTCTGTAATGTAAAATAGGCGACTTGGTTGTAGGCCAGTGACGTTTGTCGGCGCTAACGACTGGCCGTGTCGTTTCCCGACTTGTCGCAGGAGGGGTGCAGTTCCGGGCTCGGTCTCCGAAACGTCTGTGATACCAGCAGAGAGCAGAGGGTGTGGAAGACGGGGTGGCGGTGATCGCAGTCGTGGTCGACGCCGTCCAGGTGAGGAAGAATGCATACGCCTACCCGGTGATCGGCTTCTAGCGGAGAGAGTAGAGACGAGGTCAGCTAATCGTTTGACTTCTGCACGCAGGGAGTCCACTGTGTCCGCAGAAGTGACTGCGGACAGGTTGGGCGGAGCGGTGTCTACGATCCTGTCCGCTAGCTCTGCGATCTCTTCCAGGCTCCTGTCGTGCTACGGACGAGGCTAGCGCCGTGCGAACGTTGATGGCAGGCGTTGGAGGAAGAGTTCACGAACGAGGGGACCTTCCGCTGCGGTTGGCGCTGTCGCCGAGCAACTGTTGCATCCGTCGGAGTAGTTGCGTGGGCTTGCGGTCGCCCAACTCCAAGGCGTGGAGAAGTTGCTGGAGTCTGCGTTGCTCGGGGAGGCAGGTTCGCTGAATGAGTTGCTGTTTCAGGGTGTCGTACGGGTTGTCGGGCACGCGAAGGATGATGTCGCGAACTTCGGTGGCGAACTCGGGTGATAGTGAAGCGACCACGTAGTCGTATTTCGTCCTCTGCGCAGTTATGCCGCGCGTGCTGAACTGCGCCTCAATCTGGGCAAACCAGACGTCTGGGTCAGCCGGCCAGAAGGGCGGGAGCTTGAGTTGAACTGCAGCTGTGACAGCTCCTGCGTCTCTAGCTCTAGCTCTAGCTCTGTCGTCGAGGGCCATCGTTGCGTGTTCAGATCACGTCTGTGTCACCAAAAGTGTAGCGGCTCCAAATCACTTTATCTGCAATGATTCCTACAATACCCACTAGTACCTATATATGTTCTACGTAAGTTCTCGAATGTTCCATGCACGTGTACATAGGTCAGGGCCGTACACGTGTATAGGTCAGAGGTCGCCACACCAGTAAATAACCTCTAATGCCATATTGTGAATGAATACATAATAATGACAAGGAACTGCACTCAACAAAATATGGAATAGCTGTGCAGGTGTACATAAATTATTATTAACAAAATAGACTGGTATTTATGCTAGATAGAATAAAGGCACTAAAGTGCAAACCCTCAAGGCAAAAGAGACATTTGCACAATTCAGCAGCAGTGTATGCTATGCATGAGCAACCAGATAATGCCACACAGGTCATTTTCTGCCTAGACTACATCCCCACATCATCCAACATTGCTAAGCCAAACATAATGGCAGGTATATACCCGCCTTCCTATACTATAACCACTGACAGGAGTAAACCTATGGCACTAAGATTGATATCTCAGATTGTTTTTTTTTACATTCTACTTTTCCCTGTTCCTTACAAACTGGACTATAAAGAGGCACAGTTTTCTGCACTGCAAATCTGCACTGCAAAGTAGAAATGAACATACTCTTGTGAAGTGTGAGAAAACTACTTGTCTAACTCCAACTCTTTGGGGTCGAATATAATTTTTACGTAGCGGCTTTACGCGCATGCGTTTTGCGCGCAATGCGCAACAGCGCGTTGCCACACCCTCCGCGTGCAATTCGCGCTATACGCAAGGGCTAGGAATGGAGAAGACGCTCGTGTGTGTGTTTTTCGCTGCAACGGAGAGTTCATCTGAAGCTTTTGACTCTTCTTGGAGTTCAGGAAAACCAGTGGTCAAGGTATGTCATTGTAATACGCAGGTAGCATATGACTTTCTAACAACACTGACTGAATTTCGAACGAGTGTCTGAATTTGTAGATGCCGTTGTTTTGAAGGGTGTCTGAGATTGTATTCTGTTTTGTGTGAGCCCCAGTTTGTGTTCAGGGTGGGTAGTGCCGCTTTGTCTTCAGGGAAGTGTGCTATAATTAGAGTTAGCTACATACACATCTTTCGCGTTGTATGTGGTGTCACGATCTGTCAGCTAGCCAGCACCTAGCATGTTGTTTCCGTCGGGAATCCCCTCTTCGTAGGCTTCATGGGCATGTACTGAATCATGGAGGACCGACCTGTGTGCATGTATAGGTGTATTTGTGAACAGATTGTGTTTTTTACCCTTGTAGCCAATCATCGCCTCATCAACAGTGTTTTGGGGGTGTGGGCTGTAATTCTCCTTGCACTTCCGCTTCATGTGTGTGATGATGGGGAGAACCTTCTGCAGACAATGGTACCCAGGCTCATTCTGTGAAGGTAAGCGTGTGTTGACGAAGTGCAGGTAGCGAGATATCTGTTCGAAGCGGTCGCGTGTTTTCGACGCAATGAACGTGTTGCGCAGCTTGTCGTCCAGTAGTCCCGGATCTCGGGAAGGCGATTTATCCCCATGACTATCATGAAGCCAAGATAGGCTTTCAGTTCTTCAACTGAGGTTGTCCACGTGGCGTTGCTGTATGCATTTTATTACTGGGATAGTACAGATCTGTTTGTGTACTGTAAATTACTCATACCATTCTCTGGTGTGCAGGGTCCAAAATTGTCGCCCTGCATGATTCTCTCTCAGTTTCTCTTCCCCTCCATCTCCCCCTGCCCCCTCCCCCTCCCTCCTCCCCCCTCCCTCTTCCTCTTCCTCTAGGTCTCCCTCTCTGTCCCCCTTTCTCTGTCATGCTTGTCTCTGATTGAGCTGCAATGCCATCCTCCTCGTTCGTCCAGTCCACATCACTCTCACTACTCTCTGAGCTCTCCATTTCTCCCGGACTACTGGCAGCAGGGATTGGCTCTGGATCTACAAGATTTTTACTAGCTCTAACCTTTTTTAGTCTTATTTTTTTGGCTATTCTTGCGTGCAAAAAAACATACCATCATGCATCTGCTCAGATTCTGACTCATGGACATCAGAGTCCCACTCCATCCCCAGGTCATCATCACTACGGACTCGGGGTCCTCTCCGGCGAAGAACTGGATCACTGAGATGCGCTGTGCCACCGCGTGGGTGTAGCTAGCAGAAACTAGGAGGAGCTGAAACGAGCAAACAGGCGTGGGGTGTAGCTAGCGTTGCAGCGGCGGTACTGCGCAAGCCCGCGCGTTTGGTCATGATGACGTTGGTACCCAAAAGGTCACGGTTTTAGTCTATTTGTGGGCAAAGTAATATCCAAAAAGCCTCTAAGCACGAGTGAAAACGCTAGAGGAAGATGCCGACTCCTGCAGCCGGCGAAGGGTCGAGGTAAGCGTTTACACGGAGTACCTACTCCGCGCGGAACGAATCCAATCCGCGTTATCACGCATTGACGCATATTTGCGTCCTCGGCCCCAAAGAATTCGGGTTGTGTAAATCCATTTCTGACATTTTTGCACAGCTATGCAAATATGCATACGGACTCTGTAAGTGTGGTGAGCTCAGTAGTGGAATGTGATGTAAAATGGGTGTTAGAACATAGGTCAGACTGACTCGGGTGAACTAAACTGCCAGGTTGCCACCATCTAGAATCCTAGGTTAGCTCCAACAGAAGGATGGCTTCTCTAATGCACCCCTCCAATATATAGGAGTGGTGTCTAACACTTGAGCTAACTTCAGCAAACTGTGGTGGTTTCCTCCTGGGATCTTTTCCTTTCAGTGATGTTATAGAGTGTGCACTGCCTCCCTTCATGAATTTATCTATGATGAAACAGACCCTGTTGTCAAGTCTAGGCATACATAATTATGTGCAATTCCTGAGCTCACTAGAACTAGCATTTTGGTGAGTGAACACAAGATTTAGTGTGATCGTTGAACGATCCTTGAGCCATCCCTGTAGGCATGCAATCACAGCAATCCCATCTTGCTTCTCCTCTTTAGGGGATGGGGTATATGAAGCATGGTTAATGAACAGATTTGAGTACGCTGACACCCCCAACCCCATCACACAATCCCTATATTGTTGCCTAGATAAAGTATTAAACATTCAACATTACACAATAGTCTAGCTGAAAATACGAAAAAGTCATGCTACTGAGTAACCAAGAGTACAAATGGAGTGGCACACCAGGCAACGGATTGTGTGGTGGGGTTGGGGGTGTCAGCGTGCTCAAATCTGTTCATTAACCATGCTTCATATACCCCATCCCTATCTTGTCTTCCTTTCTCCATATATGCCTCTTTCTTTAAATTCGTAGGATTTTTAATTTACTTGTACTACTATATACTGCCTGGAGAGATACACTGAGGACATGGTGAGCCAAACATTTCATATTCACTTCTAAATAAACTACCGATCTCTAGCTACATAGTTTACTTGTAGTATTACCCTGTCGCCGTGTAATCACGCTGCTGTCAAAACTGTGCCGCAAACTGAAGCTTTTCCCTCTGTCTTTTTTCTTACAGAGGTGAAAATCACCTCGTACAGAGGTACGGAGGTACGGTCGCCATCACGCACACCACCCACCACCGCCTCGCTGCACACCGAGGAGGTGCTGTTCTGAGTCATTGACCAGCAGTCTGAAAATATGGCTGTCATTTGCCGAGATTACGAGTCACCACCCAAGTTCAGCTGTCCAGCAGAGCGTGGGCTCTATCTGGTCGCCAGGTGCCAGATGATGTCAGAGCGGTCTTCCGATTATCTGGACTGGAACTTCAGATTTCATGTTTATACTTTGACTGTTTGACTGTATGCATATGTCCTGCAAAATGAACTTTGAATTTTGAACTTTGAACTATGAACTATGCAACCCAGCACCTCGAGTTGACGGGGAGTCTCAGTGATCTGCAGTATACCAGTACCCAGCGTGGTTCGTGCGGTACGGCTGTCGTTTACGTCGATCCTCCGCCCCCGCAGTATCCGTCTTGCGATGCCGCTGGCGTCCGCCCGCTCTCCCCCATATCTCCTTCGTGCCTCCCTCCTCCTCCCCTCTCTGCTCCTCCGAACAGTCTCTCTCATGAACCTTCAGCAGCATCGACTCAGCCCCATCACCTGGGCAGCACCCATTCGTGGCCGAGTGGAGGTGGGGGGGACCACAGTATGTGCTCCTACTGGAAGTGACTTCTTCGATGCGGCCCTTCCTGCTCAGAAGAACCGCCCCTGTCGTACGCCGTGCACCTGCACAAACTGTGCCAATGGCACCAACTCCAAGGCTACTAATCCGGATGGCTCTCCAAGAAGAAACAGCATGTGTGCCACTATCCCAACTGCTCCAAGGTATACGTAAATGCGTCCAACCTTCGCGAACACATTCTTGTGCACAAGGGTGAGCGACCGTTTATCTGTCACTTGTTGAACTGTGGGAAGCAGTTCACTCGCTTGGACAAACTACAGCGATACTTCGTGACCCACACAGGGGAGAAGAGGTTTGTGTGTGTCGAGTGCGGGAAGAGGGTCGTGCGCAGAGACAGCCTCAACAGGCACACCAAGACCCACCAGAAGCTGCGAGAGAAGGAGGCAAACAGTGGCAGCGCTTCAGGAGGGGGAACCAACTGCCTAGACAGTGTCCCACCACTGGACAACAACCCGATTTTATCACCTCCGATGCCGACTCCACCAACTCGTGCTTTTCCACTTGAGGACAATCTCTTTACCGACATCCCAGTCAACTGAAACAGTGTCCCATTATTTCCAAGTGTTCTGTCCAAATCATCCAGTTATCACTTCCTCTCGCCAGTAAATAACCTCTAATGCCATATATAACTCCCGACTCATCCATCCCACGCTTCACACTCACTGAGTTTTCCGACACAATGGAGGTGTGATTTTTCACTTGTATCAACAATAATCTCCCTCTCATCAATGCAAAAGATTACACCCTCACCCTTCCTCTTCCGTTATAAATGACACTTTTTCCTAACTTTTCTCCTTCTTTCTTCCACTCTTCCCAGGTCGTACCGCAGTCTACTGGGCAGCCATGACATAGAACGTGGAGGCTCTGAAACTGCTGATCAGGAGAGGACCAGACACCATTAAGGACGAGCAGGATAACAAGGTTTGTCTGAGTGGCAGGCTCTGGCATTTGGCCCATTCTAATTACCCCACAGCCTCCAGGCTTTTTTCAATGTAGCAGGAGCGTGCACTTTCTCCGGATAATTTAGCATAGCCAGCACTGATCGCGTACCCCTGGGGTAGTCATGCTGCTGAACTAGTTCAGTACCCCAGGGTGCTGTATGGAGAGGCTGACTCCTATATAATTATGGTGGAATAGGGTTTACACAGGTACAGTACTGAAACCACAGTATATTGAGTACACATGCACTGATTATAGAGCACATTTTCCTTGTCACAATGTTGGATTGTCATCATTCTATTACTGAAATAAAACACCTACATTCACATTCATTGCACATTCCCTTTCCTGTTCTCTAATGAAACTTTTGAAGAAACTATTGTGCAGGAAAGCGAGCAGACAGCATGACTATAGAATGCATTATGATGCGCGAAGTTTGATTGCGGCTTACGGAATGGACTGTTGAATGCATTAGGCTTGATTGCAGCATGCTACTTTATGAGAGTGACCTTCTCTTTGTATCTTGGTAGCAAGAGAGTCGGGTCACGAATGCCAGGGCCAATTTTGATAAGCAGAACTGGCGATGCGAGATGAATCAAACGCCGGGTGAGATAAAGATATAGCTGGTTGTGAACAGTGCCGGCTCCATCCACTCTACTACGAGCTACAATAGCAACCCCTCCACTAACTCACACTATAGCTGTACATAGTCTCATTCAAAGACACAGTAACCCTTTCATGTGGGGTACACGTGTTGTAAGAGTCTGGGCACAAGACAACTCAGAAGTTGCCCAGCAGAACTGGTTAATGGCAGGGGCGTACCACCATGCCAGTCCGCCGAGCCTCACTCCCTCACCCGAGGGACAAGACGACACTATTATCACGACAATAGAGGGTCTAGTTCAGCAGCATGACTACCCCAGTGTGCTCTATGGAGGGGCTGACTCCTATACAATTATGGCATAACTGGTTAACTGGTCGATAGTCGCAAATACGTACATTTGGGTATCCAGTTCTCATTCGGGTACGCACTTTATGTATTTGGGTATGCACTTTTTATTCGGATTCTGTCAATTGCATAATGAAATTTTCTACAACCTCACTCACATTATTGTACTTTTATTACATAGCTGATGATAAAAATATTACCGCGTTAAACACCTCGAGTAACTAAAACAATGACAAATTAAACTATAACACAATGATTCTCCAAATGAAATTTGGAGTATTAGAGTTGTGAACTGGGAAAACTTGGTACCCAAATAAAAAAGTGTGCATACCCAAAATGAGAACTGGGTACCCAAATATAAAAGGTGTGCACCCAAATGAGAACTGGGTACCCAAATACAAAAGGTGTGTGTACCCA